ATAAGAAAAGCATAAAGTAATACAAATGTTTTTGGTTTGCTTAAGTGAATTGGCAATGAGTATACTTAGAATATACTTGGAATTTAGTATATTATACCATCTAAGGTATTATAAACATGTTTATATAAACACCCCCAAATATATTCTAGCATATTCTACAATCTAATGGCTGATATACATTTAGATTATCTAGTGTTTATTAGAATGAAAATATTTATAATTTATCAATTTTCTTGAAAAAATTGTAAGCTTTCTTGTGGGTAATGCAAAATTCAAAGCTGGGAGATTCTGCTAAGGGAAGCTCCCTCTTCACCATCAGTGAGGAGTACTGTAAGTTTGCAGTTTTTTATGTAGCCTTTCTATGAAGGATGTAAATGCAATATTTGTGGACATTATAAATTAAATTAGCATCTTCTTATATGCAAAGTAAACAATTTTCAAAATTCAACTTGTTTTTACTATTATATGCTTTCAGGCCATCTAACAATTCCTCTAGATTCTTTCACTTTCTCTATCTTCATGATTTCTTTTGTAGATTCAGATTTTCCTAATATCTTCTTTAGTGCCCAAGATCAGTGTATTCTCAAGATAATTATTATAAACTATGTATCTTTGAATTTAAAACTATATAGAAAGATTCAAGTAGTTATAAAAATTACTTATCAATTTTTAAACTTAAGTATATTTCAAGGTTATAAACAGTTTTAGATCTTGATAATAGAATAATCTACATAATTGATATAATTGGTACAAAAACACTAACCAAGTGTTACACAGAAAAGTTTTTGAATTAATACCTGCACTACACTTAAAAATTAGTTTTATTTAATGAAATTGACTATTATTACTTATAAATTTGAAAATATTCTAATACTTCATAGCTTTCTATACATAATTTTTTTAATCTACTAAAGCTGTTTTTAGGTTTGCTTAAGCAAACATGTAGTGAATATACTTAGAATATTGAATATTTTTTTTCTTCCATCTGAAAACTTAGATTAATTTTATGTTTATAAATTATAAAACCAAAGTTTTGTGTTTTATTATAAACATCTAACTTGCAACTTCCATGACACTAGCATGGCCAACTTGTAGCCCCCATGTCCTCAAATAACCCTAGCCACCATCACGGCTAGGCCTACCTTCTCAAGCTTTACTACTGAATGGTTTGTAGAACCATTGATTGCTTTTCTTTTTTAAAATCTGTTGGTGCACCAAGATTACAGCCCAATCTCACAATGAAGGAACTATTACATCATCCCCATATCCTATTTATAATAGATTCAAAATTATAAATAATCTACCTACCGCCCCCGCCTTGCTTCCTCCTCGTCGGGCTCCTTGCAATAGTGGCGAAGCGGAACTAACAAGCCACGCTCTTTATGCGAAGAGCTGGGATCAAGTTCGACATTCCGATGATCCCACTCAACGATGACCTCTGCTGGCCCTATGGATGCCTTGTCGTGGCAGTATGACATGGCAGATTTGACAACGTGGAGGATGACGCAATTAAGAACCAGCGCAGGAGTTATTCGGGGTACGTTTGTAGCCGTCATCAAGCCTAGCAGCCTGGGTGGATCCGAGACCAGCTGCATTTCAAAGTGCGTGGGTCGCAACATCGAAGCTACCGGGATTGTGAGCAAAGCCCTCTTCAACGCTGACGCCAAGAGAGTGAGTGAGTCATGCTCTTTCTCTCCATCCAATCCATTTTGCCTTTATCTCCGATCCTTGGTCTTTAGACATTCCAACAAGTGGTTTCGGATGGTGTGCAAGGAGTGAGCTAGGACGAGCTCTTCCGGACGAGGACTTCCACCAGGCGGTGGTGCTCGTCTTTGCCAACAAGCAGGATGCTATGGCTCCCGCGGTGATCACGGCGATTCTGTCCACCACCAATATCGTGCTCCTCGGCAGTACGTGACCCCTCGCAAGCATGGCATCTGTGAGAAAAAAAGCAAAAAGCAGTTCGAAAGAGAAGTTGAAATCGCGGTAGTAAGAACTAAGAAGAATCTCCTCAAGAACAAAGGTTAGCCAAGCAAATGGAACGACGATCGTATTAAAAGAAAGGAGGAACTTCGGCATAGGGTTTGCTATGGCGGTGAGGTGAGCTCCGTGCTGGTTGATCTCTCATTTCGCGGCTAAGGCGGCTTGTGGCAGTGCCGTCGATATCCAGGAAGTGCAAGCGATGCAGGCGGATTTCTTCTACTCCATCCCTGTAGGGGATGGCAGGATGGCGTAGTTCCCCCGGACAACAAGGATACTCGTCGTCTTTGTTGGTTACCCCCTGAAATTCAGTTGTTCTTTGAGCGAAGCACGGATTTTGAATCCACAAACTGGCGTGTTTCCCTCTTTATGCTGCTCTAACTTACACTCTTTCTGTGAAGCGGCCGATTCCATGGAGCAGCCAGGCCTCTCGCAAGAAACCTACGAGAGGCTACGGGAATGCTGCATCTTCAAGCCTGTGTTTGCGTCCCCCCGTGGTTATCGTGTACATCAGTGGCGTCGGCATGTATTAGCAAGATCATCCGCTGCAAGCAGCAAGAGTGCAGTGAAGGACATCATCGCCGGAAAGAATGGTTTCCATGGCCAGCCTTTGAGTGACGTTCTTCAAGGGAAGATTGAGAGAAGTTTCTTCTTTCGTCTCGTTTCACCAAGTTTTTCTTTGAATTCTTTGTTCACCAGCATCGTTCAAGACCCCGGAGCATAAGATCTTCCCATCCGTGGCGCCAGCGACGAAAGGTAGATCAGCCTCTAGATCACCTTCGCTGATAACAAGCTTATGGGCGGGGATGGTGTAGCACTCGCGATCTTCCGCACAGCAAACCGGAGTGGCTGGTGTGGATGACGGACGAGGAGTACCTCGAGCGCCTGAGAAGGGCGGCTTATCCACTTGCTGTGCTCGTCGTTTAGGATGGTTCTCATTGGTGGCATGTTGTCCGGGTTACTGGATTGGACCGATCATGATTGCGTGTGCGCTATACTGAATCGTGGAAATGATCAGCTTTGAGAGGATTGAAAGCTTTCAAGCGAAAGCTTTGTGATCAACTTTTGTATGCTAGCAAAAAGTACCCGTGATCATAGCAAAAACCTTTGATACGCCAATCTATCGAGATCCCAGCTGCTGAGGAACATTGCCATTGCATCACGACGAGATCCGCCACATTCATGCCCGGACACGCACGGCTCAAGCGCGTAGTGCGAGGCTAGAGGATTCTTCCAGTTCGAACTATCTTCGTTTCCATCTTCTCGCCCTGTTTTCCCATGAGCGATGCAGCTTGTGGATCCATCTCGCTGATGCAAAGCTACTGCACCAGCAGATCGCCACGCAGCACCGATCCAGCTGTATGGGAGGCTCGGCGATCTCGATTGTATTTCATAATCTTTTTGTCTCTATCAAAGCCTTGTTGCCCGGCATTGCATCGAAGATCGCTAGCGCCTCGCCAGAGAAGATGTTATTGTCGCGGATGCTATCAAACGCTCAACTTCCAAACGACGTTCGATTAACTGGTTCCAAGTATGCCTCCTCCACGCACCGCAAACGACGTTTTCACTCGCTCGCCTTGTACTTGATCATAGATTTCACGAGCTTCGTGTTTGTAGATGGCCATCCTCTTCAGAGATGAGCACTTTGCCAATCCGAAGCAGCTGCTCGGGGCATTGCGTGACTGCTGCAGGGGCCTTCTTCGGCCCGGAGCGCAACTGGTGGACCGAACGCATGCTCTGGGGGTGACCTGTGGTGCGCGTGTTTCTTCATGCGTTACCTCTGCAAGAGCCCGGAGATCGCAAGCGAAATCGCTCTCAACTCCAGGCGCTTGAAGAGGCATGCTTTTGTGGAGAAGGAGAAGTGGCTCGAGTCGTGTGGGACGCGATGGTGTAGCACTCCGATCGTCCTCAAAGAAAACCGGTTTATTCCTCGGTGGGTGGAATAATCAGCGAAATATAAAAACGAAAGAGCTATCATGCCCGAGGTATATTCTGGCTACCGATAGCTCTTTCGTTTTTATATTTCGTTTTCGTTTTCTGCACCCACCGAGGAATAAACCGCTTCGAAACGAAAGAGCATTCATGCGCGAGGAACTACCGCCAATGTTTTGTTTTTTCTTTACCCTTTTTTTTTGGTATCGTCACTAAACACACCGTAAAGGGATGGCCGATTTCAAGCTCCTTGAAGCACAAAGGAAGAATTCTTCTTGTCGGTATGAAGCTGAGCTCCGAGTGCCGCGCTTGACATGGAGAGAAAGCGTTCGCCATCGAATTTCTGTTGCTTGTGGACTAAGTTTAAGAAAAGTTGACGCGAGTAGAACTGGGAATGTTCTAAATCTCGTAGTTGTAACACCAAACATATAAGAAAAGCTGACTGTGACTAGTTGATATCCATGCACTTTGAATTATATGTTTTCTAAAGAGGGCTGGACTAAGTCAAGTCAATCTTATTTTATTGATTAGAAAATGTAGCATCCAAAGACAAGACTACCCAAGGTTAGATCCAACGAATCTTTGTCCTTTTTACCCAACTTCTCTTTGCCTTGGAAGAATGGAAAAGCAAACCTTTGCAACCAACCAGACCTGCCGAGGGAATCGAACCGGTGACCCGTCAATTCCTCGCTCCAGGCATTATTCTAGTTTTCCATTAATGAGCTATAAGCAGCGTTACATTAAAATTAATCACGGTTACTAAGAGAAGCGCCAAGAAAGGAGCTGCGCGAGCGCGCTCAGTTAGAAACTTAGATTGGAATCGTTTCTGGGCACGGTTGTTGGATCGGTTTAAAATCGCCTATCGCTCTCTTGAATCGCTCGCTCGCTCCACAGATTTCGAGTTGAGAGCTATAGCTGCAAGAAAGCGACCCAGCAACGAGCGAGCGTCCGTTTTTTTTCCCTTTTTTCCTCCTCGGCCGCTCGTTTTTGGGGCCAGATTTGATCGTCCTTGTGAGCGCTTTCCCGTGATCCCATCGGTGAGGTGATGAATTCGCTACGATCGGTGGAAGAAAAGAGAGAACAGTAAAGAAGGGAGAATTTGCGAGGAGCGACTTGCAATGTGGCCGATTTCTTCCAGAGGAAGGAGAAGAAGAACAAGGTGGTGGTAAGGAAAATGGAGAAGATTTCTTCTTCTTCACCCGCAAAGCGAATTCTTCTCGTTGGTATGAAGCTGAGCTCCGAGTGCCGTGAGCGCTTGACATGGATAGTCGCAAGGCTCACGATCCCGGGAGATCACGTCATTGCTGTTCATGTCCTCCAATCTTCCTCCTCTACCGGTAAGCAAAATTCCATTTTTCTTCGATCTTTCAATCTCAAACTTCTTCGTGGCCCATCTGAAAGAGAGCTCACGTTAGATAGATCTCCTGGCTTTCTGCAAAGACAGAGCTTTCCTTCACATACCTTTTTCATACGAAAAACCCTGTAAAACTTTGTAACGTTTTGGCAGCACTGTCTTCGGAGCTGGATCCGGCCACCAGAAAGGAACTGGACGAGACCTTTCAAGGTGTTTTAGGAGTGTACCAGGGCCTCTGTACGCTCAAGCAGGTAATCACTCGTCAGCAACAAAAAAAAATCAGAGAAACAAAAGCTGCTGCTAGCTCTAGAAAATGCGATCATACATACGTACCTCACACCAAAATTTTAATGGTTCTTCTTTCCTCACTCTTGTCTTTGCTGCTTTTGCTTTGTGTGTCGCAGATCAAGTTGGACATTAAAGTGGTTGTTGGAGCCAGTGTTAAAGAGTGCCTGGTGGATGCTGCCAAGTTGGAGGACGCTACGAAATTGATCCTCGGTACCAGCAGATTTGTGCCGACTGGGTAAGCGACCACTCCCATTTAACACGCGTTGACGGGAAGTTTCCATCCATCTAGAGAGTTTAGCTTCGTTACAACTTCAAAGCTTGAATCGCTTACTTACGAGTGGTTTTCTTCTTTGCTTCTTCTGCTGTTTTGGTTTTGTCGTGTGCGGTTTAGTTTGTCCACATCCCTCGCAAAATACTGTTTGAAGAGGCTCCCAAGCAGCTGCTCAGTCACGATAATTGACCGAGGAAAAGTGATATTCGAGAGGCCTGGATATCGCAGCAGCAGCAGCAGCAGCAACAACACTGGTAAGTTGCAATTCTAAAGAGAGAGAGAGAGAGAGAGAAGATAGTGGTTTTACCGCGGTTCTTCATTCCAGGGAAAGAAGTAAGCTCCTGCGCACAAACATGCACGCCTAGTGTTCTTCAAAGAGGAATCATGAAGCGCCTGAGCTGCAGCAGCAGTCGCCACCAAGCTTCGGAATTCGATACCAGTGGCACTGATAATGACTCGCCTGGCGGGAGCAACGACAACAATCCAGGCTCCTCAAACTCTGGTCGCAGCAGCGTTGTGTTGGAGGCCAACTTGTCCGACTCCGACAGATCCTACCCAGCTTCTCCTGTCAGTGTTCTTCACCCCAACACGGACGAGTTCAAGCCCCCGGAATCGAAAGAAAGCCAAGATCACCTGCAAGGGAGTTCGATGACCTGTGAAGATGGGAAAGCCTTGCAGGGATGGCCACTTCGCGCGTTTCCTCTGGACAAAGTTGTTTCTTCGCCGTCGAGAGAGCCCGAGGAGAGGGAGCTGTCCGTAGTTAACTGGGCCTTACAGCTTCCAAACAGGTCCCAGAGGCGACGCGAGGCGCTCGAGTGTTCCTCCGCCAGGGACAGTGTTTCGTCGTCCAGCAGTGAGTTTGGATGCGAACAGAAACTCTTGTCCAAGTGCAGGAGTGCTCCTCCACCGCGGGAAAGATCTCTTCTTCTCGAGTGTCTTCGGCAGGAAGTCGAGGCTCCTCTTGAGCAGGAAGAGGCGAGCAAGCTCAACGACGAGAAACCAGCAGAGACGGCTTCATCATTGTCATTGAGCCAGCGGCTGCAACTTCTCTACACGAAGAACACCTCTGCGGCAGTAAAATTCGATGCGGAGGAGCTGCTGAAAGCCACCAGCAATTTATCATCAAGTAAGCTATCCATGCTCAAACAACAGTCTCTTACCGGTCTTTTGCTTCTCTTGTCTAGAAAACTTGGTCGGAAGAGGTGGCTGTAGCCAAGTTTTTAAAGGAACTCTGGCAAATGGTCAAGCAATTGCTGTCAAATCCTTGAACGAAGTCACGGCTGACTCAGAAGGCGAGCTGGTTACAGAGGTTGAGATATTGAGCAGCTTGAGACATAGGAACGTTATTTCCTTACTTGGTTACTCCGCCAACTCCAAAAAACGTATGCTGGTGTACAACTTTGCCGCAAATGGGAACTTGGAACAGTGCTTGCACGGTACGTGTTCCTCTTGAGTCTCGCTCGCTAATCGTCAAGTCTCCCTTTGGTCTGGATCAGGAGAAAACTCGAAAACGTCTTTTCTGGACTGGCCTTCGCGGAGAAAGATTGCAATTGGTGCTGCAGAAGGACTCGAGTATCTCCACGACGGATGCCCGAGGCCTGTCATTCACAGGGACGTGAAGTCGTCAAACATTCTTCTGTCGTCGACCAACGAAGCTCTGGTAATAACTAACTTGCCTGAAGAGAAAAAAAACTAACGTGTTCGCAGATCTCGGACTTTGGACTTGCAAAATGGGCACCGACAACAACTCCTCACATAACCTGTACAGACGTCGTAGGAACTTTCGGGTATGAAACGCTGAAAACTCACCTCATTTATTCCTCTACCTCGTTGAAAATCCTCACTTCCGTTTACAGATATCTAGCGCCCGAGTACTTCATGTTTGGAAAGCTCAACGAGAAGACGGACGTGTACTCGTTCGGCGTTGTTCTTCTGGAGCTCATCACTGGAAAGCACCCGATCAACGCGTCAAATCAAAAGGGTCAAGAAAACTTGATAAAATGGGTAATGCCACCTCAACTTACCTGTCGAAATCACGTATTCGAATAAGTTTGGCGTCTTGTCTCTTTCAGGGACGACCTCTTCTCGAGAGTGGAAATCTGGAGAAGCTGGTAGATCCGAGACTTCAAGATGACTACGATGTCCAGCATATGAAACTTATGGTCCTGGCAGCAGCCTTGTGTCTTCGACAGTCACCTCAACACAGACCGCGAATGCGCAGAGTAAGTTTCGCCAACAACGATATTTTCCGGTGTCTTAACAGGTGTGTGTGTGTCGTCTTAAAGATATCGAGGTTGCTGAGCGGTGACGAAGAAAACAGCCTCCTGTGGGCCAACCGCGAGTTAAAGCTTTGCAAAGGCGAAGAGCAGCACTGCATAGATGAGGATTACGCACGGCCTTCCACATCCGACTGTGAGGTAAGGACTCACCTTGCGCTGGCCATGCTCGGAGTCGAGGACGATGTCGCATCCGAGTGCGATCAAAGCAGTAGCAGCATGGATTTCGTGAGTTCCAGGAAGAGCCTCGAAGATTACTTTGGTGGTCGATGTAGCCAGTAGCTTAGCTGCGATTTTTTTTCGTGAGGAAACCAGAGAAGAGTGAGCTGGAGTGACGCTTGAGTAGAGAATAGAATAGTCTACCGCTTGGTCGTGGTCGCACGCCTTACAAACACGATGTCCGCGGCTATGCTTTGGCAGCTCCGTCATCTCCCCGACGCTCTAGTTCTCGGACAAACTCCTGACAGCAATTTCAATGCTGGAATGTTGGATAAGAGATGGCTCTCCGTGAACAGTACCTGAGATTTTGGGGAATGAGATGTCGCTGATCACAATTTTCAGGTGGCTCAAGAAGCTGCTTCACTACGATAACAAGGAAGAAGAACAACGCCCCCGCGAGGAAGATGAAGATTGCATTTCCATCTTGGCAGACGCAGCATCACAGCATTTTTCGTTTCCAAGGAAGTTCAGTTACGACGAGATCCAAGCTGCAACGAGTAAGTTTGTCAGAAAGCACAATCCAGGAAATGGTAAAGTTGCTTACTTCGAAGGCAGACTCCGCAGCTCTGGAAAGAGAGTAGTTGTGAAGAAGGTCGAGGCAAGTCGAAGGTTGAGCAAGGAGGACTTCATGGAAGAAGTGACGAAAATGTCCAGGATCCAGCACCGCAATTTGGTGGAGCTTCAAGGTTTCTGCCTCCTCCGGTCCAGCTTCTTCCTCGTCTACTCCGACTACATGTACAGCAGGACGCCCCTGGATAAGCTTCTCTTCGGCAACAGTGACGATGCCCTCCGTTGGACCTCCAGGTTGCAAATTGTTGTTGATGTTGCAAAAGGACTCGCTTGCCTTCACTCAAACAACGTCCTCCACCTGGACTTGAAGTCCGAGAACGTCCACCTAGACAGCAACTTTCGAGCAAAGATCTCCGACTTTGGATTCTCCAGCCTTGCCGCAGAAAAGACGACGATGACTGTACGAGGCACCCCCGGCTACATGGCACCTGAGTGGCTCCAGATGCGAGTGAGCGAGAAGACGGATGTGTACAGCTTTGGAATCCTCGTGCTCGAAGTCGTGAGTGGAAAGAAGACGATCCACTACGAAAAACAGATGCTCAGACACCTGGGAACCTGGGCCTTTCAAGTTGCTCACAGAGGCCGCCTCCTCGAGATGGTGGACACCAAAATACTCCCGGAGGTCTCGTCCCACAGCCGGCAGATGAAAAACCTCCTCAAAATCGGGCTTTGGTGCATTCAAGCCGACGCGAGGATCCGGCCCTCCATGTCGAGTGCCGTCAAGATGCTGGAAGAAGGACGCAGCATCATCGATCCGCCTCTGCCTCCTCTACCACGGGAAGATGCATCCATAGACATGGACTTCTCGCTGAGCGTGGTTATGGAGATGATGCAGCACCGTCAAGACTACGGGAAAAAGAGCAGCTTCTTCAGAAAGTAGAGAATGGGGTGGCAAACCTACGTACAAGTGCGTATATCGGTCACTTGTACAGGCATCAACCTCAGGCTCAGCTGCAAGAGCTCAAGTTCTAAGTCATAAGCATGTATACAAAAACGAAGTTGTAGTAAGGCTTACCAGTGAGCGTGAGAGGAGAGCTTTCTGTATAGCAGCATAAGAGACTCAAGCTTGTCTTTTGCTTTCTAGCTCCAATTCGTAACCCAGCCTTGATCATTCCCTCTCGCCTCGCATGCTGTCGAGCAATTCACGCGACCAAAAGAATCAGCGAGCTCCATCTCTGCGAGAAAGCGTACGCAAAACTACTAGCCACGTACCATTTTCTTTCTTAGAATCCGCGTTACACCGAACTTCCCAGATTCGAATGCTAGAATTTTCATGCGCGCATTCCAAAATCCCAGCATCCACACGCCCACATTTCAAGCAGAGGCTCCCGCTGAGCGCAGCGATCCCTCCCGCGCCTCTTCCCTGTGCCTATCGAGAGAGCGCCATCGCTAAACCCTAAAACCCTCTAAACCTCGAGCAATATAAAAAAAAACCCTTTAATGGATATGGTCTAAGAATTTCCAGAAAGATCTTTTCGTTTCTCCTACGGCATAGTACCACACTCGATGATTTCACGTGAAACGAATATACTCGCTTTTCTTTGCTTCTTTGTTTTGCGTATCCCCGTTCTTCGTCGCGGATGTTCTAAACCACAAAAAAAAGCAGGAAAACCACGAGAGAATCAAGTCAATAACATTGACGTGTTAGATCCAAATCCAAGCAAGCTCTTCCAAGAAATGTACCTCCCAAGTCGCTGCCATGAAAGCCAGTCCCCCGTACCGCAAAAAAACTCTAAACAAATCCCTCCACCAAAAAGCTGTCTAGGCCGCTGTGGATGAGCTCGAAACCATCCATCCTGAGAGAGAGAGAGAGAGAGAGAACGTAATGCTTTCCTCCGCAGCCTCCCGGGACCGAGTGCTCTACAGCCTCAGCAAAATTGACAAGTATGCCGCGCTCGCAAAATCCCAGAAAGCTAGAGCTCCATCCTCCAAAACCTTGTTTCACACCAGCCCCTGGAGCTAACTGGTCGTCTTTGCTCTGATCATCGTCCCCTTTTCCTCTGTTCTATCCTCTCCATACTTTTCTCCACCATGATTGTTAATCCCCTTCGCGGCTATGCCTTGATAAGCCGCAGCTACGAGTGTCTATGGCTTCTTCTTCTTCGTTTGCTTCCTCTTCTTCGTCTTCTCTGCTAGAACTCGTAGCAACTATCCTGCTTGGTTTCCTCTTCACCTCTTCCATCGGCAACCACATCTCTCCCGGCCTGGAAACGCTCGTTAGCTTCACCTTCGATCCTCCCTTCACCAACAATCGTTACCTCAACGTGGAAGGAAACGCGTCCAAGACGACCGAGGACGTCGAGCTCACCACGAACTCGGTGGATGTTGTCATCGGCAACAGCGCTGGCAGGGCCTACTACGTCGATCCCATCCAGTTTCTCGACCCCGACGACAGCTCCACCTGCGTCTCCTTCAGCTCCATCTTCACTTTCAAGCTCGTCCAGTTCAACAACTCGTCCTATCGTCCCGGCGATGGAATGGCCTTCATGATCGTCTCGGATCCACAGCTGCCGCTTAACAGCGCCGGAGCTTATCTCGGTCTCACAAACGCCTCCCTGGATGGAGACTCCAGGAACCATTTCCTGGCCGTGGAGTTCGACACCTTTCAGGACAGCAGCGCTGGAGATCCCGCACGCGACCATATTGGAGTGAACATAAATGGCATCCGGTCAGTCGATGTCTTCAAACTGGAAGGTGAACTCACAAACCTTCTTCGTAGCAATTCCACGCTCACTGCTTGGGTTGAGTATGAAAGCTCGCAGCAGCTGCTTGAAATCAGAGTCAGCACTCTGTCTCAGAGACCACGTCTTCCCCTCCTGAAATACCAGGTAGAACTCGCAGGAATTGTCCAAGAAAAAATGTACGTCGGCTTCTCTGCAGCCACAAGCCTCAATTACGAGCTTCACAAGATCCTGACATGGAAATTCTCGACTTACATAAACAGCAGCGCAACCAACGGCAGCACGGATCCAAATTCTGCTTATCTGCCGGAGAACAAATCGACAGGATGCAACAAGTGGATCTGCAAGAAAATGGCCATCATCCTTTTACCATCCATAGGTCTGCTTTTCCTCGCTACGGTAGTGCTGCTCTTTTGTTTCTGGATATCAAACGGTAAGCCGAGTAAGAACTTCACAAGCTTGCCGTCAACAGTACAGTACTTCACCTTGAAGCAGCTGAGTGCAGCTACAAGAAGCTTCAGCAGGAAAGAAATGATCGGAAGCGGTGGCTTCGGCAAAGTCTACAAAGGTATTCTTCCGAAAGATGGCACTCTCGTTGCGGTGAAACTGCTCTCGGAGGCTTCGCTGCAGAGCGAGAGGCAATTCCTAGCAGAATTATCTGTGATCGGAAGGCTGCAACACAGAAACCTGGTGAGCCTCAAAGGGTGGTGTCATGACAAGGGGAAGCTCTTACTTGTTTACGAGTTCATGCCGAATGGAAGCCTCGACAAGCACCTGTTTTCAGCCGACATAACTCTTCTTTGGCAGCAGCGTTTCCACATTCTCAAAGGCGTTGGTGAAGCTCTCACTTTCCTACACGATGGATGGGAGCAACGAGTGATTCACAGGGACGTCAAAGCCGCAAACGTGCTCTTGGACAGCAAGTTCACGGCAAGGCTGGGGGACTTCGGTCTGGCTCGGCTCATGGAACACAGCAGAGGTCCGCAAACAATGACAAAGGCTGGAACGACAGGCTACATAGCTCCGGAGCTGGCTTACACCGGGAGAGCCACCGAGAAGTCAGATGTGTACAGTTTCGGAATTCTTGCATTGGAAGTGGTGTCTGGGCGACGAGCACTCGACTTAGACTTTGAGTTCGACAAAGAAGGAGTCTTGCTGCTTGACTGGATATGGCAAATGCACGAGAGGGGGAGACTGATGGAGGTGGTGGACGCGAAGCTACAGGATGACTTCGACGTAGAACAGGTGACCGTGGTGCTTTACATGGCTTTGCAGTGCTGCCATCCGGATGCAAACGACAGACCGACCATGCGCAAGTGTTGCCAAATGCTTACCGGCGATGCTGCCCCTCTAACTCCTCACGCCTCAAGGCCTATGACTCTGTATTACTATCCGGACACGCCAGTAATCCCTTCCAGCTGCTCAACCTCAGAGTACCCGTTCAGCTCCTCACAACAGCAACCCCTGTAAAAACTCGATCAAGCAAGCTGTCAAAACGAAAGATATCAAAGAAGTTACCTTGTAGAGAGAGCCAGTGATGATAAGTCCAAAGCTAAGTCACAAATACAAAAGCAGCAATAGAAAAAACATCGACCAATGATTACGTACCAAAAACATCTGATTTATATAGGGTGTTTTAGAGCATTTCTGACCATTGCTCTTTCTCCGAGAAGAGGGATGAGGAAGGATACTTTGCTGTTCGCCGCATTAGCCATTATCTCAGTGAGATGCTCGCTTGCAGGTGAAGCGATTAGTTTCGATCTGCGACCATCATTCAAACAGAGTCAAGCTCTTCTTATGCAAGGACAAGCTAGAGCCACAAATGAAAGTTTGGAGCTTACCGGAGCGTTCGATTCCTCCATCATAAACGCTGGCCGGGTCTTCTATGCTTTGCCTATCAGGTTCGTCCACCAGTCTGGAAAAAACATCCGGATCTCCTCGTTCAACACCGTCTTTGAGTTCCAAGTAAACAGTGCTCTGGACCGCTCCAACTGTAAACAAGGCGACGGGTTTGCCTTCGTCGCTGCAGCGAGCGCTAGCAGCCCCCCCAATGGAAGCGATGCTGGATACCTCGGGCTGATGAACTCTTCCACTGCCGGTAATGCATCCAACCATCTGTTTGCTGTAGAGTTTGACAGCGTCCAGAACGTTGAGTTTGCCGATCCACCATGGAGTCACGTCGGTGTGAATGTTAACAGCATGATCTCGCTTGAAACAGCCCGTTGGGAACGCCCTTTCTTTCCACCATTCAAGACCGCAAACTCCAAAGCGTGGATAGACTATGATGCTTCAACTGATGTGTTGCAGGTCCGTGTTTCGAATGAAAACATCGGCGTCAAGCCAGCAAACGCGCTTCTCGCGGCATCGGGGCTCCAACTATCTGAGGTTTTCCACAGGAGTATGTTCATTGGCTTTTCCGCCTCTTCTGGCTCCTGCAACGACAGTCACGAGATCATGAGATGGCAATTCGACTCAAACTACAAAAATCACCGACCGTCACCTCCGTCTCGGCATCGAGATTCAAAGTCGAAGACGGCAGCTCTTGGTTTTGCTAGCCAAATCTATCCCGTGCTTGGCATAGCACTAGTAGCCGTAGGACTGGCGTCGCTTTGGTACGTATGCCTGGGAAAACCGATCTTGAAGAGCTTTCATCGAAATGGATGCAAACTGTTAGCTCACTTTAGCTATGACGATATCAGCCGTGCTACCGGGAGATTTGACGAGAGACTTGTCCTTGGCCGTGGAGCATTTGGAACAGTGTACAAAGCCGAGTTTAAAGGCCCGATGACTGTCGCTGTGAAGATCTTGGCGCAAACCGGTTTGGAAGTCGAGCACCAGTTCCTGGCCGAGCTCTCCACACTGGGAAAGATCAAACACCCGAACTTAGTCGATCTCCAAGGTTGGTGTCACTCTAGAGGAAAGCTCATGCTAGTCTACGAGTACTTACCGAATGGAAGCTTGGACAGACACCTTTTCTCCGAGAGCGCAAAGTTCCTCTCATGGGAGAGAAGGTCCCAGATCATCCATGGAGTCGCGGAAGCCATCAAGTTTCTCCACCAGGGACACGAGGAATGCATCCTCCACAGAGATATCAAGGCCGCAAACGTTCTTCTCGACAAGAACTTCAAGGCCAAGCTCGGAGATTTCGGCCTGGCAAGGCTCTTCGATCACACCGGAGTCCTCCAGACGATGACGAGAGTTGGGACGGCCGGCTACATCGCTCCAGAGCTCGCGTTCGCGGGCAAGGCCACGGAGAAATCCGACGTCTACAGCTTTGGCGTCTTGATCCTGGAGATTGTCACGGGGCGGCGAACGATCTCTCCCGCCTGCTCCAAAACGCTCATCGATCGAGTGTGGGGGATGCAAGAGAGCAATGCGCTGCTGGAGATTGTCGACGAGAGGATGCGGTCGAGCTACAATCCGGACGAGGCGAGAATGCTGCTCCATCTGGGGCTCACTTGCTGTAGCATGGACGCGGACGAGCGCCCGACGATGGACGAGTGCTGCAAGATCCTTGGCGGCGAGATGCCGGCCCCCGATCCCCCCGCCGCGCAGCCGCTAGCGGCGCTCTGCAGCTACTATCGTAAGATGACTACTCGCGAGCAAGAACCCTAAAACCATGTTTCCAGACCTAAAAATCTTACTTTTTTTCCATCACCTTTTGGCTAAATTATGAGTTGTGCCTTTAAAGTTTTGATAATTTCCATTTATTATCTTTAAAAAATCACCTTAAACTGAATCTTTGTTGTATTGTTTTTTTTTTTCTTAAGAGAAGGAAAAGAAGAAAAACAAATAGAAAAGTGGTGCTTCTTTAGTTTAACTAAGTCTTGGGGCGTGTTTTGTTGATGGATGTGTTCTTACCATGGTCGGTGCTGCAAAGGCTCGGGCCTGACTTTTCTACAAGGGAATTCGTTCTGTCCTGCAGTAAATGTTTCTATTTTGATTTTCATCATGTAGGCTGCTTGGAATTTCCGGTATGTCTTTCTTTTCCACAAAGTGTCAGGACTCCAAGACATTTTGTAAATTGTAGGCACGGTTTTGCAGGTTTCACCAGTGTGTGTTGGAGCTGAAGTCAAGGAGCTTCTGAATCAGCGACGAATGATCTTGTTCCGCTGTAACACCCAAACGCCTCTTTCGGGACAGCGATACATTTAATCCTTCGCGAGCAACACCCAGTTTTCGCATGTCCGTGGAATCCTTTCGTCCTCCTATAGCATCCCAGCTGATGGAGATTATCCAGAAAAACCGTCTAGGGAACCAATAAGTTGGGTTGTCTTGTACATGGGGAGATCATGATCATAGGATTCTTTGATTTCTGGAAAGCTAAATCAAACATCTCCCTCCAAGACGTCCCAATCTATTTGTTCCCAAGGTAAGAAGGGTACAAAGGGATCCAATTTTATGAAGCTACTACAAGCAACGATCCTTTCATGCTTGGAACTGACATGGAATTATGGAGGTGGCAAGCAAATGCTCTGGGCATAGCGAGCATTTCGGCAAAGTATCAATCACGTGTTTGTGACTCATAAAAGAAAAAGTATAAAAACTTTTCTCGTTGAAAATAGTACCACAGTCTAGAAATCATCCCATCTTCAGTGATATACGGAAAAAAATTGTAAGTCTTGCAGAGAATCATCTTTTTTGGTCTGAAATCTGTGATTCATCCAGGCAATGATCATCCAGGCATTAACATGTCTAGAGCCCACGTGAAAAATATGGCTGCCGCAAAGGAGAATATGGAAAGAATCAAGAAAGGAGTCCTGCCGGTGATCTCCTTTCTTCTATTGCTAGTTCTTTCTTCAATTCTTAATTCCTTGAAAAGAAAATCAAACCGGAGCGAGAGCGTGAGAGGGGGACATGACAGCCCACCGCCATAAGCCATGGCTGGGGCATGAGATCAAAGAAAAGCTTTGGGATCTTTGGCCAAAGCGCGATAAACTTTAGCAGGGGATACATATTTTGGACGAGCTAGAAGTTAAGACTGCTGCTTAGTCGCATCTGGGATATCGAAACCGGCTGAGGCCACAATCACTGGGAGCTCGCTCGTAGCGCCCGCGGAGGTTCCGATCCACGCGACAGATGCACCGGGCGTCCACTCTGCTAGTCGCCTGGCAGCACAAACCTCCCGGCCGGGCTCGGTTGAATCGGGCGTACTCGCGGCACGCATCCACGAAATCCTGGCAATCCAGTCGATCGCCCCGGCCACCCCCTCCAAATCCCCCTTCAAAAAAAAAAAAAACAAACAAATCAATGTCCAAGAACAAGCGTGAGTTCTTCCGTACCGCCGCCGCCGCCGCCGCCGCCGCCGCCGCCGCCGCCAGGTCCACCACCGCCTCCACCAGGCCCGCCACCGAATCCACCGCCTCCGCCAGGTCCGCCACCGAACCCACCGCCACCGCCCCCGCGCCCAAAACCAGGCTGAGCTTGGGCGAGATCGAAAATCACAGCTAACAAAACTATAGCAAGAACAAGAAGAGAGTTCCTCATAGTTGACATGCTTGATCGACTTGATGCTACTCCAATCCAAGAGAGGATGTCTTTTGTAGGCTGGAGATTTTCGGCGACCATTAATGCTGCCCACCCATCTTTGTTGAAAAGAAAGGTGGCGAGCAGTAGCGTTACAGAGTCCACAGGCCGGCCATTCAATCTCGAGCTTATCACCTCGGAGAATATCCTCCACTTGCGATTTTGTTTAGCACTTAGCGCCCGCGAGCCCGGAGTATGACTTCCTCTGGATGATCCTCGAGAGCTCAGAGCTTGCCGCTGCCAGCGCCGCCATTCTTGCCACAAGAAGAGAGACTGCTGCGCTCCAGAGGAGAGATCACGGGGCTGCGAGCGACGGTGCTTCTGGCCCTCTTGGAGTATGGATTTAGCAGACTCTCGCAGAAGGAGGTAGAGCTCTTGGCCACTAGAAAGATTTAGAAACCAGCATGGGGAGAGAGAAACAAAGCTCACGTACCTCTGCCACTGCCTTGATTTTCAAGGCCGTGTCAGTCATCAGCAGCACCACTCTCCTGTCCACAACGCTTCTCTCGAAGAGCAGCGCACAGTCTAGGACGTGGTCGTCGTTCGTAGGAGAGAGTAAATCCACGGCATATGGGAGGAAGTTCTTGGCCACGGATGGAGAGACCGGAGGAGTCATGCCCATTGGTTTCATCTCGTTGCTTTTCTGCACGTGTATCTACCATGGCTTTTTCACCATGCACTCCTCTATCCAGCGCAGTGACCTCCACCACTGAGATTTCTTGTCCTCGCTTCTTTGAGGAAGCTCCCGGATGACTGCCAAAAGTTTAAAGGCGAAAGAAAAGAATTATGAAAAATGCTTATATTCGGTATGATGAAGCTCATGGAAAGAGGCCTTACCCGGTGACAATGAGTGTAATAGTCTTTGAGATGTCTTCATCGGAGCCCATTGAGTACGGATTCGGAACAGTCTCCTTCGAAGCTCTGGCTTAGGCGTGGTGTCAAACTCGAGCTGCCAAGCCTTGTCACAAAAACAGAGGCTGCTGCACCCTGTATCGGAGCTGAAGACGGTTACGTATCAGACAAGGAAAACATGGCTCCTGCTCTAGTTGCAAACCCTGAGGTGGATGCATCCAACTCCGTGGTGTCGA